AGTCAATGTATACTTTCTACACACTATGTTTAACAATTGTCTTCAGGCAATCAATATTATTGAATGTCTGGAATTTCATCGTCTGATCCATCTTCTGCGGCCATCGGTGAACGAGACCGATATATTTCACCGTACCAAAATTTGTGAGTTGGTCATTGACACTTTTCATGAATACTTCAATGCTTTGAAGAGGGACCTTGTGGTAAGTCTACAGCCATCAAGAGCCCTACAAAGTGTCTTATATCTTTTAGGCTGCCCAGGGAAAGGTCTCATTCACATCTGACCTCTGGTCAGATTCTAACCTTTGCCCGTTCATGGCCATTACTGCCCATTGGATCGCTAAGGCCAACCGGAGTTCAATGCTCGTTTTGAGGGCTGCACTAATAGGCTTCCATCATGTTCCAGGCAGTCACACAGGTGAATTGCTGGCAGGAGTCATCTTGCATCTTCTTGATCGCACTGCTGTGACTAAAAAGGTCAGTGTTTAATTGTACCATGTAACACGCTCTGACTTTGTTTAGACTGGTCATTTTACCTTGGACAATGCTGCAAACAATCAGGTTTCCATGTGAGAGCTTTCGCAAAAACTGGAGTGCCATGGTATCGATTTTGACCCCGTCAACCACAGAATCCCATGCTTCCCACATATCATCAATATATGTGTGAAGCATATTATTGAGAATTACCACAAGGCTGACTTTTCGCTTGTGGACAAACATTGGGTAATCGGCGATCGCACTATCATCAAGGCGGAGTATCTCGAAGTGGTGACCGGGAAAGCTCTCAGCAGAGCTAGGGACCTTGTGTGCATGGTTCGCATGTCAAACCAGTGACATAATTCTTTCAGGGACACGATCATCACAGGTAATGAGAAGGAGTGGTTCCAAGATGATGTGGGCGAGAAACTATGCCTCCCTGTTGTCAAACTCCTGCTTGATGAGGTAACCCATTGAAATTCAGTCTACGTCATGCTCAACCGTTTATGAACCCTTCACCAGGTAAGGCATCACGCATGAAACATTTGTCATGAACTAATATTCACCCAGGCAATAGATTTATTCTTCGACTCTCCCACTCAATGCTCCATCAGCAAGTTCAAGTTGAGTCCAATGGAGTGGCAGTTCCTACAGGATGTCGAAGTAATCCTAGAGGTTAGTTTTAGTATCTTCGAAACTCATGGTCCATCTTATCATTCTATACTAGGTGCCCCACGCTGCCCAACAATGCATGTCAGGCGAATGCACTCCCATGCTAAGTGGTACATATCTGGCATTCAAAATGTTGATTGAGCGGTGGATTTCTTTGGCCAAACTTGTCCCACACTGTGACCCTCTTGTTCAGATATGTTTGACTTTGGCAGATAAGTATGATGACAGGCTGGGTGCCACAAATGCCTATGCAGTCGCTATGCGTGAGTCTGGTATCTTTTTTAAATATTTGGTTGCTCACAATTGCATTTATAGTTGTTGATCCTGTGGTCTGAATGTCATGGGTTTGGAGTCGTTGGGCAAAACAAGTGGTTAGAGATGTAGAGAAACATATAATCAATCTGGTACGTCTGTCAAACCAATAACAATGCAACTTTGAACTAATATTAGCACACGTAGATGCATCAAAAACGAACCACGAACAGCTCAGCATCTGTCGAGTCTCCAGCTAATGAAGTAAGACCTTGGCAACAACTGCGCATGCTAGGCTCCCGCCTTTATGGACTTCCTGATATTGGCATCCTGCCATGTCACAACAGCGGTGCCCAAACAGTTGAGCAAGAATTCGAGGCCTACACCACAGCTAATCTCAGCACCAAGGGAACAGATATACTTGGGTTCTGGATGGTAAGCATCCCATATCTCTACAATTAAAATCTTTATTGACCATGAGGTGTTCACCAGGTCTCGGAGACCTTATTTCCGACACTTTATGGTATCACAATGGACTACCTCCCTATACAGGCCTCTGCCATTCCATGTGAGCGAGTATTTTCGTCCAGTAGTGAGACCGACACGAAGAAACGTAATCACATGAGCCCGGTCCTGATGGAGGTCCTGCAGGTGGTAAAGTTTCTCATGAAAAAGAATGACTTAACTTTATGAAAGGTTGGGCAGCATTGCAAAAGGCTATGGAGTATGAGGTGTTGGGCGAGGGAGAGGAGATTAACAATCTTTTGACATTTTCCAGCAGTGGAATGACAGGTGATGTATGTGACACTCTTCTCAGAGCAATTGCAGAGGAGGAGTGTGATGACATTGATGATGTTCCTACTACCTACGACTTGTGATGTTTGCTTTTACTCTTTGTTTCTTCTTTGCGCTACTTTTACTTCTGGTTGCCTGGCATCTTGCAATGCCTCTCGTGTTGTATTATGATTTCAATTTTCAACTATTCTCTCTTTGCTTGCTTGACTGTCTTTCTTTCACCGCTTTCATTTGCTGAGTGTCACCTTGCTCTGATGATCTATGACATTGTGAAGGTGACGGTATCTACCATGCATCTTCTGCGCTATAATCCTCTCAGTACCAGGTGCGCCTTTTTTTCTCCCATCTTTATGATCACTAAACCATTGCTATCAGAGTAGAACTGTCATATATCCGCTCCGCTTTCCGACCACCTCCACTCCATCCATTCCCTGCTCTGTCCAATCATCATCCATATCTGCCCCTACACTTCCGCTTAACCGCTCAACCGGTCCCCTTCCATAATGTCTCCATTCAACTGGACCTCTTTCCCCTTTGAGATATATACTTTCCCCTTCGGTACATAGACCCTTACTTCCGGATCACCGGTAATTCCTTTTACCACTCGATCACTGATCTGATGCTGTGGGTACAACAAGTGCAGCAGAGAGAAATTGATCTACTACACAGTTGGGTCTTTGCTAGCCCGCTGCCTCACTTGAGAACAAGCATGTTCGACCCTAAAGGGGATTGCTACTGGGGAGTACTAGTCTCTGTCTAAATGACCCTAATCAACCCTACCACAGGTAGGATGAGGATCCGCAAAAATGCGGAACTAGCAGAACTAGCGGAACTCAAGCAGAACAAATGGGACTCAAGCAGAACCCAAGTGGAATGGAACAGGAATGAAGCGGAACTCAACTGGATACAATGTGGAACATAAGGAGTCGTCAGAACTTGCAGGTCAAGTCGAAGGAAGTATATCACAAGGTTAGATTGATAGTGGGCATAAGTCAAAGCGGTCCTCTAGTAAGGTGAAGGAAAAGTGGGAAGGTAAAAGATGGGATTCAATAAAAAACACCCAAGCCCTGAGTACCACTACTTAAAGGGAAGATTATTTTCAAGGAACACTGAGGTACAGGTAGTAAGTCTCTCAGGAAGCAGAAGTGAAGGCAGGCAGTGCATATGGGTGCAATACTCCGGAATAGGGGTCCATGCCATAAGGGCATGTGTCAGTGTGATCCAGATAACGTTAGGAACAGCGGGAAGAGAGATACAGCGTACCAATGGACCTGGAAGGATGGGGACAGGACATGCAAAGGTTGTCCGACAATGGGCGGGAATACCAGATAGTGCGGGTGGGTTCCGAAGGATGCGCGGGAATGCGGAACCCATCAGATGATGCGCGGGAAACTGCGGAACATGCGGAATACGCAGAACTGATGTGAGATGATGCGGAAAGGATGGGGTTTTACACCTACAGTGGGGGAATTCCCCACAACGCGTACATATTGATATCCACTCCGACTTATGTCTTCACCTGTGTAAGTACTTACAAATTATATCTTTGGTACATAGCTTTACAACATAGTTATCCTGATCACTGCCTCATACATAGAAGTATATAACATATCATGTACTTAGATATTTTCCTCAGTCTTAATATTACTTGTCTTCTTGCAGTTACTACTTGCGAGAATTCTCAGTAGGACCTTGCCTCCTCTGGACACAAGTCTCAACTTGTTGTCACCTCTGACCCTCCAACCCTCTGCTCTGACTTAGAGCCGTGCTCTAAGTCTCCCCCTTATTTCTCCGCCCCTTTCAATATTCCCCTCTGACCCTTTTCCATCCTCCGCATTATCCTCCGCCTTCCCCACTCCTACCAAACATTCCCCCTGCTCCTATCCACCCTCTGCATCACTCCCTGCCTTCTCCACTCCGCTCCTAGTTGGCCCGCCGCTAGTAGCTCTTACCTCTCAATCCTAAAAGTGGACCTAAGCGGTCCACTTGTCCTATCAGTCGGACAACGTCAGACCTGCTCCAAATTTGGGGCACTGTACTCGGCTAAGGGCACAGTGCAAGAGCTGAAGCCAAGCCCCGACCCCTCTGCTTCCTGAGCCAGCACGGTACCTAACAAGAACGGCTGATACAAGTGTAAGTCCCTCACCACTGAGAGAGTCAATGCTGTGTTGCTCACCATACTCAGCCTGATCTATGACAGCATTGGATATTTCATCATGTTGTCCTGGCAAGTACATTCTGCTTGTGATGAGCACCCTCCTAATGTTCCCTCAGCGGCGAACATATTGAACCTCATCCTTTATCATACAACCATTAGTTGGTAGGGTAAGTTTTGCATTGTCTGGCATCTGTCAGAAATTTCCTAATCGGGTTTCATCGCCTTGTAATGTGTTGCAATGATCCAATGACAAGCCGAGGTTCCAATAGGTTGCAATAAAAGAGTGTGATGTTACATTTATGTTACAATTCACGTTACAATATTGAGTTTGTGTCACAATGGTGATTCCAATCAGGTTTTCAACCAAGTTTGCAATATTGACCGTCAGCTGCAACTGTCCAAGCTGATTTTGTGGTACCTTGAGATCTAGATCTCAAGGTTTATCTGAATAACCTAACCGGGTCTCAACAATGTTGGAATACATACAGGCAGGTTTCAATTTAATTCAAATATCATTGAGACCAAGTAAATTAGCAGTCTGTAGGTGGTGGTCCTTAATACTACTTCTTCTGGGTTCGTCTTGGTCAGCTGGTCCGCTCACCTGCTGGTCCACTAGATACAGGCACCAGCATCCCTGCCTTCCTTCCTCAGCCCCGATGACCAGAAGATGGGGCTGCCGCTACCACCAGTACATCATTGGGTACTACAGGAACTTCTGAATCAACAGTGGTCGCTGGAGGTCCAGGGACTTCAGAGGCTGCAGTGGCAGCAGCCGCGCCTGCAGACACCATGGGTGGCCCAGGGGCTGGAATAGCTGGCAAGAGGGTTGCAGAATTGAGAGCAGTGGTAGTATTTGCAGGGGCAAGCACCAGGATGGCTGGTGCTGAGGGAATAACAACTGGTGTTGAAGGAACAACGACCGGTGCTGAAGGAGTGATTGTGGGTGTGATGGGGGCGACCGATCCAGGAATGTCATTGACAGGATTGTCATTGGTAGTTGTTGGTCCAGGAAAGTCGTTGGATTCCTTCTGCCCTGCATTTGCGATGGCCAAACACATCAGATCAGAGGTAAAATCTTCACCTTTGGCATTGGACATTGTGACATTGGAAGTTGAGGATGATTGCCAGACGTGGGTGTCGATCTTTTTGCGGATTGCACAAATACGAGGCTGATCCCAAAGGGTGACCCACAGCTGCTTGTAGGCCGTAAACATGGCAGCATATGGTAGCCAAGACTTTGCACCAACTCCAGCTTTTGTGAATGAAGTGTCAGGAGAAAGGATGAAGATCAACTAAAGAATAATAGTTAGGTGCTGATCCAGAGGACCAATCATAGCAGAAATAGAACTCACTGCGACCCAACCCCATGCAAGAAGACCGGGAGTACAGGACATTGTGCCCCATTTTCAAGCATCGCACTTAGCATGCGGCCAGCCAGAAATGTCTAGTGAATTCTTTCCGAACATCACAATCCTAATCACCTATGTAGATCCATTAGCATGAGAACAGAGTGAAGCTTATAAAATTACCTTCGCAAGTGGTTCCCAGTTACCAAAAACTGTGGACATTGTGGGGTCCATCTCTTGATTTGTGAAAAGGATGCACGGAAACTTCGACAGTGAGGAGCGACCACCAGCAGTACCTGATCCAAGCATCTTCTGGATCTCAGGAATGGTATCCTGCTTCATGAAACTCAGGTCGAAGTATGACAAATCCAGACCAAAGATACGCCCTGCCATCAAGCGTAGTTTGCCGATCTCACTGGAGCATCCACCTTGAAGATGCTGCTCTAGCTGCAATATTTAAATTACATATCAATCAGTGTTTGGTCGGATAATGAAATATATAAAATAACATACCAATGATTGAAAATGAGAAGTAGGTACGAAACGATGGAGGTGATCCAGTAGAAGTGAATATACCTCTGTCACAAGACAAAGTTCTTCGGCACCCTTGCTTGCATAGCGACTAGCAGATGTGATGACAGGCGAAGGGTTTGGCACAGGCAATCTGAGAATGCAGGTGCTCGGGTGGGAACATCTCAGCAATAACACCGTATTTGCGAGCAAAGGTCGAGATTTCAATGTCAAAGGCCTTCAGCTCGTCAGGAACTTGTGCACTTGAATGTCTACATTGATTGGACACTAAGACTTTGTTCTTCTCGCCCAGAGTCTGATTGTTATTCTGGAGAGACTGTTTTTCGAGTTGCAGGCGCTGAATGATCTTGAGATGCACGAAGTTAGAGTTACTAAATCAGAGCGAGCGAAGTAAAGCATTGTTACCTCCATGTCTCCATCCTGCACAGAAGCCGATGACTGAGTGGTGGTTGATGAGATCCCCACCACAAACGACGACGGTATGTCCGATTCTGATGCATCATCATGCTCTGACTCGGACTCCAAATCATGGTGCGCAATGGGATGCTGAGGCATCACAACAACTTGTATGGTCAAGTAAAACACGGTGCGAAAAATAATGATGGACCCACCATAAATTTATAGTCAATCTTGGCCATGCAACTTGGACCGAACACGATGAAAGAAAACACAAGGGAAATTACATCGTGAATAATAGCCTTGACGTTTAATTGAAATCAGCATGTGGATGAATGACAATACAACAGAGGCAACTTACCTGTGTGGCACTGTCTAGTGTTGATGGCCAAGAAGTATTGAAGAGCCGGCATTGAAATTTAAATTCAAAGACCTTAGATCATGTCATAGAGTGAATCAAAAGGTGTTTCAAAGCATGCGAGGAATGTAAATCACCTGAAATTTCCTTCTCAGAGGAAAGGTGTTGGGTAAAATTATCAGCAAGAGCTGCTCTCAACGTAATAAGGGAGATCACACAGCGTCGGCCAGGCGTCCAATTTAAACAATGAACATGTTACAGTTATTAACAGTAGGCAGTCTAATAAGTGGCAATCCAGACTCACCTGTGCTTGCTTGACATCCATCAAATTGTGCTTGAGTTGTGGTCCCAATTGGCTTCAGACTAAGATTCAGAAGTTGCAACTTGGTTGCAACAGTAAACTCAATCAACGAACTTAGTGAGAAACACGATTAAATGCTGACATAATTACATTGACAATCCATTGAAACACATCTGAACATCAGTTTCAGAACATTAGAGGTATTTATATTAGCGTAGGGACCGTGCATAATTCAAAATACATAAATTAGAATACCCCTTGAGCCAGCTCAACCCCGAGCCGAATTTCCAGCGCCTGGGCCTGCAACCATTCCCCTGTCCATTGAAGAATGATAGGGAAATCAGGGTTGGACTTCGCAATATTGACGACCTGCCTGATACCATCTACCGAGCCCGGTGTAGGGAGTTATGTTACTCTGGGCTTGTATTGATGGTTTTTACTTACTTTCCTTAGTTTATGTACGCATTTTTACTGCTTATGTAAACAATGAATCTTCTTGAGCCACCACCATGAGCAGTGCTCTTTTGATTCACTTTTCTCTCTGAGCACTACCTAGCTCTAGTCCAGAAACTCTCTAGGGTCGAATGCACCTCCTTGCAGGTATAGCAGCAGGCAGCAAGACCCAACACTTTCTGCACCCAGCAGAATTGTCGTACCCACACTGGCTTGAACAACACGTACCGGATACCAGCCTTCCTCAATCCATCTGAATCAATGATCTCTGCTGCTTTCTCAGTGCTGGGAATGCAGACAGTATCACCTAGCGTGACAACATGCACACCATGACCTTCAAGATTATGAGCTGTGAGAGGCCCAATGCCATTCAGGCCACCAGGACCAAAGTCGATGATGTGTGTCGCGGTCTCAGGGAAACCAGTGGCAAGCGTCCAGTGAATGGGTGACATAAAGATCTGGTCGCACAATGAACGCATGATAGATGTCTCCAAAGTATGCATATCAGAGTCTACAACCATCGGGTCAGCCAGAAACATGTTTTAAAGTGACTATATGTGCACCATATTTGGTGTTGAATACCAGAATACCCACACCTGCAAACCTCTCCTCTACGCGCCTCAACCAATCGCCTGTCAAGTTCCTCATATGTCTGAATAATGTTGCCCAAATTGAGGGTAACGCTCAGACCATCCTTCTTCCAACCAAACCATGGTCTAGGCTTTGCAAAGTCTGCATTCAACTTGCTGACGGTCTCTGCCTTGCACTCAGCGATTTGCTAAGGGCCGACAGCGCTTCTCGATGCTCGAAGTGCACAATTAAAGATCTGGTAACGTTCATCAGGTCCTTGACTGAATCCCGAGCATGGATATTGGGTATTACCTGACATGAGGCGGGTATGGACCCTCTGATTCTGAATCAATGAGTTAGTAACAGGCGCTTAGACTGTGCATCATGAGATAGAAGAAAACCATAATAGTAATAAGAAATGAATCAAGTTGCCCTAATAATGAGGCCTGAAGTTGCTAATAGTCGAAGGCAGGTCCAGGGAAATAAGGGAGTCAGAAGTAAGAGTCCAATTTAATCACTGGCTGCAGATGTCCTGCATTCAAAGGAACATATCTGTATCAACAGTGTCAACAACTAAAAACTCGTCAGGTCTGCTGGCATCCTCTACTATCATACAACCCCAAACAATTGAGTGAACTGAGAAAAACTCTGCAGAAGCCCTAGGCTTTCTCTTAATGCGCCAAAACTGAAAGACTTTGTCCTTTCGTGAATGAACGTCAACTGGTCGATCATACGGGAGAATGAGCATGACAGGATATTGAACATCCCCTACTGTGCAGGTGAAGATCAACATTAATTTGCCAAAGATGACGCCGGTGTCAGTCTGCAAGATGATGCAATCATATCGCGGTGAGCCATGAAACATCGGAGCACATCGAGTAGTCTGTGGACACTTGCCAGTCGACAAGTGACACTTTGGTCACCCCATTTCAGACACCTCTTAGGTTGATTTATACCTATAGAGGTTTTCACCTGAGAGGTGCTTTTCTGCTGGTCTACCCGATGTTTTGTGGTCTTTCCCTGTTGTGCTTGTGGACCAAAAGACCATGTACCATACATGAACTAAAGACCATTGGGAATATGTTATGGGAGGACCATAGGATGATTTGGACCACTTGAATTCCATATAATGCAGGGGTGTCTGGGGTCCTCAAATACCATTTTCTTTGAAAATTACCCACTATATGTATCGCATCTATGCCCTGCACCCTGCCTCCTGCACCCCTCCATAAACCTAATAAATCTTCTTATATATAATTGAACAATATATCTGGTGGGTATATGGAAAAAATGAATAGTCATTATTTTAATTGAACCTCTTAATGAAAGTTGTAGTATGCATTAAGGCGAGTCTATATGTGATCATACCTTATCAAAATTTTGACATGAAGGTGAGATATGGCCATAACAAAAATTGTTGTCAGGCTTGTTTTCAAAAAAAAAAAAAACATTATCCTTGATAAAAGTCATGGTCCTAGTCAGGGTAGGTCCGCACCTGGTTGTATTTTATCAATTTACTATCATTTGGGAAAGATATAAGCTTTTTGCAAAAACAATAAACAGGGAAGACCATATGCTTAATGGGAAAGACCACGGGTGTAATAATCATCTAATAGGGAAGACCACATGCTTAATGGGAAAGACCATGGGCACAATATTCATCTAATAGGGAAGACCGCATGCTTAATGGGAAGACCATAGGTGTAATATGCATCCAATAGGGAAGACCACATGCTCAGTGGGAAAGACCATAGGTGTAATATTCATCTAATAGGGAAGACCACATGCTAGTGGGAAAGACCACACGTTAGTTAAAGACCACAGCAACTCACTTGTGGTCTAAAAGACAAGCCCAACAATGATTTTTTGTATTGCTTATAACTTGCTGAAATCACATGCAATTGCTTAGATAATACAACATACATTCCCACCCCAAGTAGTAGTACACATTTTATCAAGACATCAGACCGTGGGAAAATTATGAACACATAGTCTATTTTGGTCATTCTTACAAGTCACCTCATAGTCAGGGGCATTACCACATGCAATTGCTCAGAAAATGCAACATACATTCCCTCCCCAAGTAGTACTACATATTTTATCAAAACATCGGACTGTGGGAAAATTAGGTCATTCTTATAAGTCACCTCACAGTCAGGGGCATTACCACACAGCAGATTTCGAAATTTCAGGCACCTGTGGTAATTTCTCCTTAATTTATCATTCCTATTAAGACCGTGCTCAGGGGTAAAGTGGATTCTGAGGGGCTTGGCTTCAGCTTGTACGCTGGGAATGTAGTCCGACACAAATTCTATGGGTTCCGACAGGACATCAGAACAGGGGTCCTCTGAAGGAGGACTGATGGACTACTAGGTGAGCACGGGAAAGTCGGGCGGGGGTTGTTCCGCCCAACAGGAGGGAGATGGGAGACTACTGCGGTCAGAACCAACAGTAGAAGCGGAGCGGAAGGAAGTGCTTGGACGAAGTCCAAAGCAGAGCGGAATGGAGGGGACGGATGCAAGAGTGCAGGGTCTAGTTCTGACGCACGGGAGGAACGGAGGAACGGAGGAACGGAGGAACGGAGGAACGGAGGAACGGAGGAACGGAGGAACGGAGGAACGGAGGAACGGAGGAACGGAGGAACGGAGGAACGGAGGAACGGAGGAACGGAGGAACGGAGGAACGGAGGAACGGAGGAACGGAGGAACGGTACCCGAAAAGCGGAACTATGATACTAAATGGGGATAGGACCAGTTGAGTGGTTCCTAGTCTAGGGGTGGACCGGTGAGGCGGTCGGACGGATTAATAGTCGGGTGGGACAACACAAGCAGAACCGAAGGAACTGAACGGGTCGGAAAAGCGGAGGGAGTAGGAGTAGGGTCGGGCAGACCAATAGGGTGGAGGAGCGGAACCCCAGATAGGGTCGGATGGAAGGGGTATGGGGTCAGAGGACATAGGGGTAATGTCGGAAAAGCGGAATGGAGTTGGGTGGAGGTAGCAGGGCTAATCCTGCTGAGATGCACTTCGTGCATTGTCGGGGAAGGAGGAATGAAGCGGACGGGGAAACAGGGGGTCGGACCAGGGGTGGGGATGTTCATGGGTGGTATTGGAGGTGCTCAGATCCGGTATATGACAGTTCCCCACAATTTCATAAGTCACCCCACAGTCAGGGACATTACCACAAAGCATGATTATGCAATTTCAGGCATCTGTAGATCATTACAACAGATTTCATCAGGGGGATCTACACAGTTACCACATTCCATATTAAATTCGCAATTTTGACCACTCACCGTGGGAATTTCTTCACAACACCTAACATATCACCCATTTTGGTAACTGTCCAAAATATCAACCTCCCCATGTCATTTCTGTCTCCACTACACCACAATCACTCATCCCTTGTATCTAAGTAGTAGTTTATGTTATATATGTATATTATAATATAATAGACCGCTTTTTTGGTGTATTTTTGTCCACATGCCTCCTCCAGGTCTGTAATTGCTGTGTCTGGTTACAATATGGCAAAACATGCTCGCATTTTTGCTCCTATGATGGGAGGGTGTTCTGGAAGGTGTAGAACATGTTTAGGAGTGTATACCAACTCATTCCACCGCTTGTTTTACCCCCTGGAGCTCCCAACATTGACATGTATAGCATAGATGCATGAAATACAAAATTGGTTCGAATTTTTGAGTTTCTAGCTATATGTAGTTGCAAATACTGTCCCCAGCATCAGTTAAACATTATGAACAATGTATCAGCAGCTCATGACAGCAGGTGAAGCCCCTTTGGTGCTGTTTGACCACCCTCTCCTGATGGTTCACTCCCTGGGAAAACATTTCCTGCAGGAATGCAGCTCCAGGATGGCATGAAGACAATTTCTAGGTATACTTAGAGCATTTTAATCAACTTGGTACCACAGGATATCCACAGGGGCCTTGTACATAGACCAAAACCTCCAAACATGCATTTTCGCATTTTTGGTGTGTTTCACCTGCAGTCACCACGTTTCTTAGTGCAGGCCATTCAATCTCTCCAGCTGAAGTCAATGATGCATGGTCCCTCCTCAAGGATGTCATCTGGAGTGGAGGGATCACTGTCGATGTGGGACGGCTATGGGAGACACATGGCACTCAAAGGGGTGTAGGTAAGTTCATTTGATTGTGTTGTCACCTCTGTTTCTTCATCTAATGATGGGATGGTCCCAGCTGAGTATCTGCTCTATCCTCCTAGCCACTTGTGCCTTCATCCCAACTGCCAATGTCATGCAAAGGGCATGACTCTCAAGAAGGCTGCTCAAACCTATGTGGTGTTGTTCACACTGACAAAAGGACCATGCATTGCAAAATCCATCCATCTCTACTGTCAAAGTAAGCTGCACTCTTGCTTTGAGTCGTTATTTTTGTTGTTGACAAGGTTGACTAGCTTGTGGAATCGATTACCACCACAATTACAGTGTGTTTAAAGGAGAGCACACCTATTATGAGCATCAATCAGATAGTGTTCAGGCTGTGGATAGTGTGTTCATTGAGAAGAGTGTAATCAAGCTCTTTAGGACTGGAATGGATTTCTCGTGGTATGCTATATATCATGCTCTTGATCTCTCCCATCTGACTATAAATCTTGGTTGCACCCAGGACTTCAGCTACGAACTGCACAAAGTTGTATAACCTTTGCCTCTTGCGTGGTAAGCAGGCACCTGCAGACTATAAAGTCAAGTTTGCACTCTCTGTTGAGCATGTTTGGGACGGCTATGTAATCACTTCACTGCTGGAGGACTGTGAGCATCGCATGAGCACCCTCATTACTCCCCACACTGGTGAACAGTGGGACCGATTCACAGAGGTCATGATCACAAGGAACCACTGCATTTAGCTCTATGGCTATGAGCAGGTCCGTCGCCACTACTGCAATAGATGCACAAGCATGTATGAAGATGAGCAAGGTGTCAGTGAGTGTCATAGTTTTGAGGCTACATGGGACTAACGGGTAAGATATATACAGTCACACATAAAGTGTCTGTTGTCATTGTCGACGGTGTCACTGTCGGCCATCCATGCTGTGCAGTTTATAACTGCCACGTCCCGCTGTCTAACAACCACCATCACTTTTGTCCTCTACACTCTGGTCAAAATGACAAGTGCATGATCATCAGCTGTGACCTGCCTGTTGTACATGGCCGATGCACTTGCTCAATACCAGAACATTGTCAAGTCGAGGATACTCACAAGCTGCGCAGTCAATCCAGATTCCAGCTTCAGGAGTGCCTCACTCGTGCCAGAACTACCATTGCCACCAACACATCTCACACAGATGATCCACCATATGAAGAAGAGTATGAGTTCGATGAGAACACCAGGAGAGCACTTCCTGCTACCAGTTCATCCCAGGATAGACCTGGAAGGAAGAAGTTCAAGGCAGTCCTTGGCTGCCGGCGCACACACAATGAGCAGTTAATTGTTGCTCTGTGTGGTATGATTATTGCTTGAAGGACCTTCTTTGGAGCGGAGGGAGTAGCCAGTGTCAAGGTATGTATCATCATTCTATGACCATTTCTTCAACTCTCATGGTTATCTGCAGCAATTCATCAAAGAAGTCTATGCAGGCAAAGATGCTGTCAAGCCCAACCACATATTCTTCGACAACAACTGCACCACAGGTTCACTAGCATCTGGCAGCTCAACAGCCTGACCCTTGCCCTTCTGGACTCGTGCAGGAGGCTCAGGAACTTTCAATAAAGAGGCCAAGGGTGGGGGACAAACAGACATCCAAGGGTGGGGACAGACGGACGTCCAAGTCAGAAGGTGCAGCATCAAGAATCAATGCTGGCTGGGAAGGTGGGGGTGGGGGCATAGGCAGACATGTTTGAGGCTGATGAAGTGTTCGAAGCGCCAACGATGGATCTAACACAACAGCAGTGGTATGTCCTTTGACAGAACAACCACCCAACAGGCCGCAATGTGTTTGGCATGCAGCATTATCACAATGTGCATGGGGACACTTCTTGCACACCAGGGCAGGGCACATAAGGAGCAATGTGGTGTTGCTCAAGGCAGCAGGCTGGACAACAGCAGTTGGGGCTAACTGAGCTGAGCCCAGGGTGGGGGAGCTAGAGGGACTGGTTGAACCTCATGCCCAGTGAAAGAAATTACATGGCACTTGCTGCTTGCCAGCAAATTTCTTGCACTTTGGTGATGGAGTCAGTTCAGTGAATAAGTCCAAGAAAAGATAGCACTTACCACTGCCATCCAATGGCCCTTGTTTCTGTTCTCGTTTGTCTTGCACCGTCACCAAGGAACCTCCTCTTTGCAGTTATTGCACGAGTGTATAAAATCAAGCTGTGGTTGAGCCAATCGAGCATTGAGAACAGCTTCCCATGATGGTGCACCCTGCGAGGTGGAAGGATATCAACAATATTCATCTGGCGGGCACATAGAAATAGACTTACCGACGTTATCAAGTAGCTTGAGAACCACATAAACATTGAGAAACGAATGACATGCTGTGGAATATAGTAGTTAGTATTTGTAAGATACAAGCCATGTTAGAAACTTACAGGTAGCATAGAGATTGAGAGAACACATATCGGGTGGGCGTGCAAAGGCATGGTGGTGGTAGTGGTTGGTTGAAAGCAAGAGATAAAGATAACCAACGGCGCATCAAAGTTATGATGTCGTGAACCGGACGGATCCGCACTCAGGACAGACTCGGAAAATTCCATTTCCCAGATGTCCTCAGTATGTCTTTGCTGCCGCTGACTGTAAACCCGAGTGGAGTTGGGACTTTCACACGAAGAAATGTCATTTGTGAACGACAAGTTTATTGTTTCCAATATGACTGGTAGTAGGAGTACTATTATCTATATTTACCATTCTCAATGGTCTTCATTCGGAGGAACAACTATATAATACCATATGCTCTGTTGAAATAGAATGGTTCTTGCACAGGATCACCTAATTGACACGTGTGTCATTGTCTTTCATTGTGGGGTGCGAAAGGTAAGTGATTGATATGTGAGGTTCTTTGTCTGCCATGTTGTTTCGTGCATTTCATTTTTCTTTCCTTCGTCGGGTCTTCGAGCCGGGTGCTCCTATCCTGATTGTTATTTTGCAATGCTTGGCACGATGCCCCCATTTCCTTGTCGAAGGATCTTTCTTGCTCCATCATCATGACCACTGAGTCCGAAACCTTTGATAGCAAGTCCGTTGCTAATGCACCTCCCTCATACAACAACTTTCTATGTCCGCATTGACAGCAGATTTCATCCAATGCAGACCACCATTCGTAGTATTCTCCTTCTATCAACCAAGCGGGAACGTACCACTGTTCTACCTCGTATCCTGTGATCTTGTCTCTGCTCCTGGTGATACCTCTTCCTCTGTTGCCTCAACTGCCAATGCCTGCACCACTGCTCTCGCAGCTGCACAGTTCTTCCACCTCCTGCAAACGCTTAATATCAAGATTGGGCAGTTGTGAGTGATCGGCGAGAAATTTTGTCGGCCCTTTCTGGATTGATTTCCAAATTTTCGTCTGCTTGTTCTTCCTGAGTTGCGCCTTGCATATATGGAAACCAGCAACCATGTATTTTTTACGCAGCTGAATTTTGGAAGTATTGATGGTAAGCGCCGACTTGGTGAGTACATTTATTGATGTATGACGCATTTATCAGTCAAGGATGAGTCTTTGAAACACTTTTTGGGCTGCCCGCCAGATGAGGTTCAGGTGGGTGAAGGCGGTAAACCAGATCGCAACCAGTTCATTGCTTCTTTCTGCATCAGGATGTTCCAGAAACATTTGCGCATTACACAGCAAGTAGACTGAATATGCTGCATGAGACGTGTGGTCCATGTCTCTCGGGTTTTCCTCACGTCAATGTGATGACGCCAATCCCTGCAGGATGTCTATGGCACCTTCGCTTTTATCTGGGTCCTGAGTGGCAATGGCACGTCGTGTTTGGTCTTTCCTTGCCTAGCTTTCCAGTGTGTCTAAAAACAGTACTTCTGATAGAGGCTCACGGAGGGAAAGGGAATTCAGACTGTGAAACTCCATGTTAAGGTTTGAAATTGACATGTCCGGAATTCCTAGAGACTGTTGTGCCAGATGGGTAGGTTTGAATCTGCATCGACTCATCCGAAATCAAGGTACTGATGGATGTATGATTCTATCTGCTGCCCTGTTGGCTACACAGTCCTGGTTGTAATACAAGATACAGTGATGTAGTTGGAAAGCCTTACACCGACTATTCGTGGCCGTTGAAGGATTGGGCGACGTATGACGAGCAAGTATTTCGCTTCCTCAGCTCGATCCGTGCTACATGTGGATGTGTTTGGAGCGGTTATTTTACCAACCAACATATTTTGTGACTATTCTCCTTCACTGAATTGAATTGACTGTTGTTGTAGCGATCTGTGTACAGACTGCGATGGCACGCTACATGCAAGGCTGGAGATAACACTCCGTAATTCGTAGCAATATTAATGGACATCGTTATTTCACCATTTGCTTATGTAAGGATTCCATTCTGCGCGCCGACCAAGCCTTCAGATGGAGACACGATTAGCACGACCACGTAACTCAACCGACGCGAAGAGCTTTACTCTTCGCATCCGAGTTACGTGGATACATTACCCTATACCTCCTTTCATCTCTTTCTCGTTATCTTACCTACTGCTCACACTTCACTATCCCTTTCTTTGACAGAGTACTTTCACTGCACCATATGCTCTTCACGCCGATTCCGGCCTAGTCAACCACTTGAAAACGTATATATACCACCCATGTACACTCATACCTACAGCAGAATCCTAGACGCTGATTCCCCGCTCCAAGCACGACCGAAAAGCCTCGTACAAAAGTCGTCGTATTACACGTTATTCCTACTCTTCTCGATTACCTTCTCGCTCGTCTCTTATCCACTTCGTTTCGTTACAATTCCCCTTCGAACCCATAGCAAGCCTTACACTTATGTGAGGGACATTACAAGTTAGCGTTCATCTACACCATACACGAGAATCAGAATGACAGCCTGCCAATTTACGAACCAATCAAACCGAGACAGACTCCAAGGGAAGCTGTGCTTTTCCCGTCGATCCAGCTAGACTGTGCACGAGTAGATCAACCTGCGTGATAAGTGCATCAAGGCGGCGATCCTGCTCAGCAAAGCGAGATTCCACCATTGCAGCCAGCTTGTCGACTCGTAAGGAAAGCGAACTTGTCTCGTCCGAGTCATCGGGAGGTTCGTCTGATGCTCCACCTGCGTCTTGAACCTTGTCTTTAATCTTGACCAGCCAGTGTTTGTGAGGGTGGTGCGCTGTGACCACATTGAATACATCGCGAAACGCACAGTCGCCACATAAGGCAATGGCGGTCTGGATTTCTGTAATGGTTATCAAGCTTCGTGCTCCCTTAGAGGAATAGAAATCTGACCTCCACAGGTAAGGCATACATAAAAGATGCCCTTCATCTTAACGCCACATTCAGCACAAGTATAAGCATCCCCATCCGCAACTGAGGTTTCAACTTCAACTATCCCCCCGGATGCCGCTCCTGAGTTTCCGCTTAACTCCTCGTCGTCTGCCGGCGAATCGAGGGGGGCGCAAGCCACATCCGTTTGAGTGGCCTCTGTCGAAGGCGGAAGTTCTGTTCCATTTGATTGTATCCGGCATTCGTCTTCTTGCGCAGTCGACGGCCCTTCTGGTGGTGGTGCATTGGGCATACAAGTAGACAAATAATTCCTAGCATACCACTGGACTCGCTTGTAGCGACCATGCGGTAGCGGCATGCGGAAAACAAGCATGTTGTGCGTCGACTTGTGGTCGGATGGGTATTTATGTTCCGAAACCGGTAGAGATTCACATTCTGCACATAAATCATATTGATCTATATATGCAAGATGATCAGTCGTTTCGCACGTGAGGGTTGTCTTCATCACACTCACTGGAATCGCAGTCTATACAACGGTGAAGAACGTCAGTGACAAGGCAATGACATGCATCGCAGGAACACCTGAACCCCGGAAACAAACAAATGGTTAGAGAAGAATAGCTAACGAAAGCTGGACTTACTCGAACAATCGTCTGCGCACATGGAGTTCAGCTAATGAATTCCAGCGCTGCACATCTGAAGGAGGCAGCTCGTCGCACAGGGAATTGAACCTTTGTTTTTCCTCGGACGATAGATAAGGCGTGATTTCATAAGGGTAGAAGTTTCGCGCATTGTGGAGTTCATTCATGCACCACAAACGGATATACTCGTCCTTGGTGTCTTCAGGCTGCTGACCGGGACTAGTTGCAGTGAGCTTCACAGGCGTTTCCAACGCTTCATCTTTCTCTGCCAGACTGAAGGGACCGAGCTTCAATGCTGTCGCATCAATGTCGAACTCAGTCTCATCAAGTCCATAATTGTGGGTTTCCCAGTATTCGGTGTCGTCCGTGGTTAGTTCTGGGCTGTACCAGAAGTTGTACTGTTGCGAAGTGTGAGACCCATGACCAATGTAATGTTGCTGTCTCCACGCACCAATCCATGCGCATACCAAGTGAATCTCACCTTCGGATCGTTTCCCAGCTGGCGAAATGATTCTACGACGTGGAAGGATATTTCAGTAGCTCATCACGATGCAACTCGGAAGCGCACCTGCCAGTTGCTCCACACGCAGAGTCACCCCTCCCAGAATATTTTCTATCGTTTGAGTTGCAGACTCGAGTTCTCTCTCAACCAGAATTACTGTGCTGGCGAGTCTCATGATCTGTAAATGCCTCCTGATGATGAGGTAAAGCAAAGGCAGCAAGAACTGAACAAGTATTCATGTGAGCATCCAGCACAAGCACTGAGCAAACAACTCACATTTTCGATGCGACCAGATCCAAAAAGTTTGATAGTGTCCCTAGAGTCAATTTCATACTTCACGATGTTAAGTTTATCCGCCAATATCTCTTCCTGAGCCGTGCGACGCTGAGCAGCCAATTGCGTAAGATCCAAGTCCGAATCCTCTGATCCAAGGTCTGCAATAGAACGGACGAGTCGTTTGATGCCTGTCTACAATGTCAATCCCCCCACCCAAAGGTGAGCAGAGCGACAGACCATCGATAACATATGAATTCAAGTATGTGGCGATACACCTCCGGTTTTCCGGAAGTGCATCTGCATGCACATAAACCATGCTATTCAAGACCTGTTCAATCCGTGCGTGGTAATATTGGCTATCCACTCTCCACCCTTCCCTGACGTCAACACTGCGGACTCAACCTGATGATAATAATGCTCACCTGCTGCCCAGTACGCAAGCGTTTGTGGAAGACTCCAACCCGAAGGCGTCGTGGAAGTAAAGGAGTTCACTTCCCTTATGCTGACCAAACCATTCGCATCGCCATCGAAGCCTTCCGATAGACTCGGAACGTAGAAAACAGACAAGTATTTCAGGCACCACTTGTCTGCAAGATCAACTGTAGGAAGCTCGCGATATGCAGAATCGACTGCTTGAAGATCGCGATCTTCTCCTTCTGAATCCGAGGCGACAGAGACAGTAGGTGTTGGGGATGGGACTCGCAGGATCAAAGATGAAGCCTCCGAGGTCTCTTGTGCGGGCGGAGCATCGTGACGGAGGCGGGAGAACCGATTGACGTAATAGTCGTGGAGTTCTGCGATGAAGTATAGTGTCTTGACACTTGTTGTCCATTTCTTGGTGATGATAAGTATGCACCTTGTTAACGCCTGCACAAACACTTACCATCTCCTTCCAGATATATCGGAGGTGCTGGTGAAATCGACCAAGTTAGTAATGCATGAGGCTAAGTTTACTGCTCCTTACTGGATCCTTGACCCGTCTGAATCTGCTGTTGAAGGCCCACATGATGCGCGCCTCGGAATCCTTGATAGCATCTTTGATGTCAGATGTCTGGGTGTCGAGCTTGAACATGAAGAGAGCGCGGTTTTCGTCGAGTAAGCTGCGTAAAGGAGCACGCAGTTCGTGAAGCAATGAGGCATCGAGGCGGTACTGCTCAACAACCGATCCGCTGGCCGAAGTGGTCTTGGAAGTAGGCTTATTGGCATCTTTGGAGGCGGGATCGGGACGTGCTTTATTCTGTGGACGTGCTTCCCGTTGCTCAGCAAATTTCAGTAGCTCCACTAATGCGTCTTCACTCTCCAAACACTTCTCCCTTCCACCGCGCCTTTGCACTTCTTTCTCGAATTTCGCTTCGCGTTCGCTTGGCCTCTGGATTAGCTTCTCCAGCTTATCGATCGCAATGTCAACTCTCAAGGTCGTCCTGATATTCAAGGCGAGCTGGAGGTCCTGGGTACGCTGGGAAAAGCTGCTGCAAATTTTGACAAATTCGCTCGCCCAATGGGATGATCTGAAGAATTTCACTGGGAATGAGGTTCTCAATATGAAACACCTAACATTCGAGGGGAAACTAACCAACGAATTTTGACTTGTAGTACTTGTCGATGGCGTTCCCGCAATCCTCAATATCTTTCTTGATGCCGTCCGTGACACGCTGGAGTCGCCCCCGAATTTCACCGTGAGGTCCTACGATGGCAGGGTCTTTGGTGTCCTTAAGTCTACCAGTAAATCGAATCAGTAAAAGTCGTCCTAGATTGGCATCAGCCGACGAACTGGAGAAGCATGACCATCATATCAGATGCCTGAGCTATCATCAATCCAACTCTACGATCGTTTTCTCTTCGCGTTAGCTCAAGATTCACGACTGCCTTGAAAGCAAGTATAGCCACTACAGGCTATCTATTAGCGAGGTAGAAACACACCAACAAGTAGGAAACACACCACCAACAAACGGGTGGATCTGTTGCAGAGAATCCAGGGCATCCATGACCTTCTTTGCCTCACCCAGAAAGTCGCCCATATTCTTCTTTGAGAGGTCCGTAACCATCGCGTCAGATGATGACTTGAAGGCTGTAGCATTCTGGTTGTAGAAATCGTGCGCTGATACGACTTCTTGGGCGGTCTGGGCGATGAAGTCCTCTAGGCGAGGACAAAGTAATCTGAATACGACACTAAGCGACTGGGATGGAGTGACGACGACGAACCTGCGTGGTCCCACATGTCAAGCTTTGCAGCTGACGTTGAGTTTAAGTTCGTGGCTTCATCCAATGTCTTCTGTGTTCTTTCAATCGTCACGTCGAATATAACTTCTTCTTTGTGTTTCATGGAGGCTTGTGGCAGTAGGGGAAAATCTCGTCGAGTAAGAAGGGAAGAGACTGCTGATAAGTATGTCGAAAGTAGCTGAAAGTAGGCGATCAATAAACGAGCTTACGAATCCATAAGGGCTTGACATCGGGGCTGTACTGTGCAGTGCGCTCCATCATAGATAGGTACTGATGAAACCTTCGCTGACGGCAGACACAGCACAGTACTGGCACAAAGAGGACGAGGGGCAGGCATTGATCAAACTTTGGCTTGAATGTACCGTCGGGATCTTTAGTGCCTGTACAAGTTGACCAGATGAAAGTGGCGAGTACTTGCGCGGTAGCTCAAGCCCTTTGGGTCCGCCAACTGGCTTACACGACAGGAGATGCACAGCAAGATGTATTATATAGAACATCATTACATGTTGCGCTACACCCGACATCCTTGCTACAAGCACCCCGCCCGTACAACAAGCTATGGAGAATGCCCCACTCCTGGGCTAACTTCTCTGCAAGAGTCGGCCAGACAGCTGCGTGGATTAAACGCTTGTTCAAGACAAGCGTCCACTTGCCAAGAGCTAGTTCGGAAATCCGATGCTGGTCAACATTTGAAAAATTGTCTCGGCTGAATCAGGATCCGGATTAATCGGAGCTTGAATTTGGCCTCCGCTTATCGATATCCTCAATCAATGATTAGAAGGTATGATACATTCCTCGTCATGGATCCTCAACCAGGGTTCACAATAGATCGTCAATGCTTAGCTCCGCTTGTGACGAATCCTCGACCGGAGGTCTGGGACCGACTACTCAAATGTATGGTACTGGTAATCAGCATTGTTGTTGCTGCGACGCATAGTATACTACAGTCCATATATCCCAAAGATCCGGAACCTTACCATACTTCAGCTCTATCCAGGCAAGACTGGGTTATCGAGTTGCTCACTGGTCACCCAGAACACATCAGGTGTGAGCTTGGCATGCACACCAGTGCTTTCACGGAGCTTATCTCTGAGCTTCGGGCCATGGGCCATTCAAACCCTAAGTTTGTCTCCCTCGAGGAACAGCTTGGGATTTTTCTCTACACCTCTGTGACTGGCCTTTTGATCAGGCACGTCACAGAGAGATTCCAATGCTCGAATGAAACGATTTCACAGTGAGTTGTTGTTTTTATTTTTAGGGGGCAGTATTTGATAGTACATAGTTATTTCTGCAAGATGCTTATCATTTTCACGTCCCAGCCATTCTATCCAAAATATGTACGCTTTCTGGATGGTTCAGTCCCTCGCAAAATCCAGAAGAACCCCAAATGGTGGCCTTTTTTTAAGGATGCTATTGGGGCGCTTGACAGTAGTCACATCCATGTCACACCTACAGTCAAACATCCCATATATTGTAATCGGAAGGGCTTTGTATCCCAGAACTGCCTCTTTGTGTGTGATTTCGACCTTAACTTCATGTACGCGCTCATGGGCTGGTGCTCTGTCAACTTTTTCACTCCCCCAGGGAAATATTTCCTGGCAGATGCAGGATATCCTCTACATCCTGGGCTACTTGTGCCCAACTGAAGTGTGCATTATCACCTTGCCGAATAGGGTCGCACAAACATACAGTGAGTTCTTACTTGATTCATAGACCTCATGCTAAGTTTTATAGGCCCTCAAATAAAGAGGAATTGTTTAATTTGCGTCATGCATCAGCATGAAACATTGTTGAGCGCATCTTTGGCATTCTCAAGCAACATTTTCGGATACTACTTCTGTCACCCGCATATTCTATGGAGGTACAGGCCCAAATTCCCGCCGCACTATATGCTATACACAATTTCATCCTCATACATGACCCTAGCGAGGGTGATCCTCCCGCTGATGATGAAGACGAAGAAGAAAGATTTTCGGAGGATGGTCTTGGCGCTGATGTGATTGCTGAAGGTGATGCGGCAGCTGTTGAAGAGGACAACGAGCTTGAATTTCGTCAAGGAGCTGCGATGCATGATCGGATTGCAGCGGTGATGTGGGCACAGTATCAGTGCATTGTACTGGAACAGGGTTTAGAAGGGCTTGATGTCGCGGAGGAGGATAATGAGGATGCCGCTGACAATGACAAGTGATATGTAGTCTACTTCAATTCAACGGATCAAATGGATGATTGATATGCATGACAAATATTTGGTATTGTACAAAGTAGTGATGCAGCAACAGCATGATTGAAAGAACAAACAACAATCAGGGCAACTCAGCCCATCATTTCAGGATCATCAGCACCACGCATCCCTGCATCAGCCCCTGCATCAACTGGCTGGTTAATTAGCTTTGCCACAAATGCACGCCTCCCGCGCTTGTCCCGGAGGTTCACGTAAAACTTCAGATAATGTTCGTTACCCTTCAAGCCAAGGATAGCAATCAGCACAGCCTGCTGGTCTGGTGGTATATCAGAGTCCTCCCCTTCTAAGACGCAGATGGCTTGTGTCACTAAGTCATCACTACCTTGCGCGCCGTCAGGCCCTCCTTTGACAAACCATTTGAAGACATCAGTGAGCCGGTTGATGGTGCCTTGCATCCCCACCACAGCAGCTGCCAGTGTAATCTTTGCTGCCTTCAAAGCACTACTGATCTTCGTGGCATGGCTATGCTGGGACCCTGCTGGTGTCCGTGCTTTCTTGGACGGGGGGGCTGACACCAAGGTGGTGGAGGGAGGTTGCATGGATGACACGTGTGTTGAGCCAAATGATGCCGTCTCCATCTCCGACAGTGCTTCTGAATATGGGCACTTGCCAGCATTAGAGCTAGCAGTGGTAGAATGCGTGGTGGTGGAATGCGCAGCAATGGAAGTGGTGATGGTGGTAGTGCCTGATGGGCCAGCTACAGCGCCAGTAGGGCGAGCAGCATCCTCAGATGTTGGCCCCCCAAGCTCACTGTCAGTGTTGGTGGTAGGTGGAGCAGCGCCACCCGGATGGAAAACATGCCGCCCTCTAGCGCCACCCAATGGTATGATAGCCTGCATTTTCTTGTAATGCTCCCATCCTTTGTTGCGGAATGGATGCATGGATTGATTTGACTAGCAAGATGTTAGCTATTGAATAAATAAGAAAAAGTAAAAATACCTTGAGATATAACATCCATACAACTGCCACCGCAGGTCCTTCAATCCCAGCCCCATTCTCATTGTCCCAATGGACCCCTGTCTGGTTGCGGTACTTCTCAATAGCATAGTAGATATTTTTGAGCTAGAAGGTCTCTCATCAGCTCACAATCTGATTAGAACTGATTATAACTGATGTACCCATGTCCACTTGTTTCTAGTTGATTTTTCTGTCTTTGGCAGACCCATCCAAGTGAGTTGGAGAGCTTCATCAATGTTGATGGCATTTCCAGCAGCAGCATAAACCTGTGGCTTGAAGTTGCCTGCCCCTTCAGCATCTGAGTGATGCTCGTATAGATAATTCACGAGGGCAGTGATCTCGCCATCACTCCACTGGGCATGGGGGAGCTTAGCCTGAGGGGGGGCATTGACTTCAGGTTGGGCCATGATGTCATATCCCGTACCTCCGGATCCGGAATTCCAGATCTACTTCATTGAAGTCTGGTCCTCCGTCTTACTATTCCGCCCGGCGCTCCACCTTCATCTCCACACTCACCCCTAACTCCTTTTAGATTAGCTATTGCTCCGGTTACCGGTTATGTCCTATTCCGCTATGCTTACTGATCCGTCCATTCTTACTTCATTTCTGACTTCACTGCTTTGATCCATTATACTTAGTAATAGACTTTCCACATGCTTCGTACATAGCCCTTACCTTTGCTGACTGATTTACCTACATGATATCTACAGTATATAAACCCCTGTAATACTCTGGAACTCCTGAGTTCGAATATCATCTTAGTTCTGCTCATTCCTGCAATCTCTGGACTTGAGTCTCACCTCTTGTCCACCTCTGAGTCTTAGGGGTTAAACCTTAGGACTACTTCTCCGGCTCTACCTTAGGGTAGTCTAAACTCTGTTCAGTTTCTACTCCGGACTTCCGTAGTAGCCTTACTCCATCCCCATATAAACCTTCCGGAGTTCCGCCGAACTCCACCAACACTAAGTCCTCCGGAACTCCCCGGACTTCTGTCGGACTTCCCCTCTGTCCCCCGGAAATTAAAGGGCATGTACTCGGGTAAGGGGTGCAGCGCACGAGCTGAAGCCGAAGCCCTTTGAGTAACCTCTCCCTTGAGCACGACCTTAACACATGAGGAGAGTGGTATATTGAGCACAGATCACAGTGATCGTGACAGCGCCAGCAAAAAGCCTCTTGCGCCGCTCTAGGGTTAGATGAGGGTAGCTATCCATTGATAATATGTACAGTAGGAAGGAGGTAAAGTTCAAGCTCCGACATCTTGGAATGATGCCGATAAACTTTTGTGTAAACATCAACAAGCAAATGTTGGCTAGCACCGGGTTTCCGAACTAGCTCTTACAGTGGTGGTGGGCAACACCGGCCAACAAAGTGTACTGCTTATATAAGCAGAATTCCCCTAAAACCGCGAAAATCATGGCACAACGACAAGAATTATGATTTCCACATCTACTACAATCATTTTCAGTATAGAATTAATCTAAAAGAGTAAGGTTAAAGCCTGAATTGGTGAGAATTTTTCTTTATTTTTATTGCAAATGAGGTTCAGGATGTGCTGAGATCAGGATGTTGGCGGCCCATGCAGATATATTATTAGAGGTGATACTAATAGGATATCATAATAGGTCGTCGGAGCGAACATGCCACAGCTTGTGTTGAGCTGGGTGAGAGACGAGGGTGAAAACATGTGTTATGGTAGGTTGTGTTCTTTGTTTGGTACATGTCTGTGGCTGAGATTTTGTGTTTTCAGGGGCCCCGGTGTGCATTGCAGTGTGGGTACCGTATTTCCACACATATCACTGTTCTGTCGCTGTTGTCATGTGTATTTGAATGCAATAAAAAAATGTTGAGGCTCAATTTTGGAAAATCATCCATTATTGGGGTGATATGTGTGAAGTGATGTGTTGATCTTGATGAGTTTTGAACCATTTAAAATTTTGGCCTCAACATTTTATTCCTAGGCTATTACACAGTATTTTGGTCTACTTGGATTGCTCAAAAAGTCGAGAATACAGTACCCAGACGTCTGTGCCACCTCTTATTGAGTTATTTGGGCATCTAATGCCTGTGGGAATGCACACTTTGTTGGCAGGTGTTGCCCACCACCACTTACAGCACTACATAACAAGTGTCTCATGGTTGAATGTTGAACGCAACATTGAACTTTGCCCCATTTCCACAATGCGTTGTTTGGCTCGTCGATGAATGTCAGATGCCTGGCACATGCCATGGCTACCAAATAGAGTTTCATCCTTGAACCATTCTTTTATTCCATTTGCTGATATTGGTGTACTGAAAACACTGTTTCTTCCAGTATCATCATTTTTTCTTACTCTAGAATCTTTTTCTTACTATACCAACTCAGGACCAGATCAATCACCTGTTGTCCACGCCCCTTACACATGCTGTAAGTGCACTCCCCCCGGCTTATCCTGCACCAGGTGAGTTTGAGGTGCTCTTTCCTCCTGCTTGCACTACACTGTCCCTAATTTCATACAGTGGTATCTCACCATATGCGCCTGCAGTCATACACTTTCATGAGAGGATTAAGCAACTACTATCACAAATCGAATGGTTGGCACTTGGGCTGAGGAACCCTGGAGGTTACGACCCAGTAATTTGTGGATGGCTACTGTTGACACTTCTCAACTGCCCATCCCTGATCTTGAGAGGCTGTCCCCAATTTGTGGTGGTTCTGCTGCTGTTATTTCTGGTAACTGTATATCACCAATTTTGTTCTATGTAGCTTATCATCGAGACTGAACAATCCCAGAGGAGATTCTCAACTAGGAGTAGACCCTCCTGTGCTCCTGGCACTTTTACCAAACATGTAGTTAGTTCCCCCACAAAATTTTACTTGCTGAAGTGATATGTGTTAGATCGTGAATTCTGAACTATAGTACATGCACCTTGTGCTGCTGCTCAATTGATTTATCCCACTGAGTGCTTACCAAATCCCAAGGGTAATTGTGAGCAACTGAAAAAATAGAATATCAGCTAGAATTTTGTGCAAGTCTTCTTCTTGAGTGCCTCTCTTCCTTCCTTTGTGAACATTTCTGATTAGAATTTGGTAAAGCAGAGGTTTTCCCCTGATCTGCTACTTTCATGCACACACAATGAAGCAGTGCTTATGGCGCCCACTGAATGCCACACTAGTGTCCAAAGCTGGCACCATTGCTTCTCACAAATATACATTGTACCTACTTTGCTCACACCGATAAGATTGTTTGTTGGAGTCCAAACAATCTGAGCAATCAGAGATGAAGAAGACTGACTGATCCAAAATGGTTGAGGAGGGAGAGTGACAGGTGGTCCAAGCCCAAGCCAAAATGGACATTGATGAGTGACAAGTTGATGTCAACTCGTGTCCTGCAATAACCTACCTATTTGTTTAATATATCTTTCATTACTATCCAGTTTACTATAAGAATGCCAGCAGTAGCATGAGTGCATCTCAGCTTCTTTCAAGAGACTGAGATGTGAGTTAATAGTCTCTATGTATCAATTAGGATGCAACTAACAAGTCACTAGTGTACTTGTTCATTAGGTACTTAGCTCATTAGACAAGCTTCTTTCAAGAGACTGAGATTATACTTGTTCATTAGATCATCCCTGAAGGCCCCCAATTTATTACTCACCACAGGATATGAACCCTATCTCGACCATGGATACTTTGCTCCCCAACTTCAACACCACCCTGCTTAACGTCCCGAAGCTTGCTGAAGACAGCTCGAACTGGATAACCTATAAGGAACGAACATTCACAGCTATTGGCGCTAGAGGTCTGATGCTGGTATACTGACGGTCGAGCAAGTGAGCCGAAACCCTTTGCGGTTGACCCAAAAATGAAGGCTATTGTGAAGCCAGATGGGATGATGCCTACACAGGCGGACTATGATGAACTTGATAAGCGGATCAACGAGTACCATCAGAAAAACTCGCTAGTAAAGCAGCAGATATTTAGCATGATTACTGATCGGCTATTACTGCGTGTCCAGGAGCTGAAGGATGCATCCAAGATCTGGGAAGAGATATGTCAGATCCATGAGGGAAAGACAGAGCTGGTCCAGATAGACTTATGATGACAGATGCAAGAGATGAAGTGCAATGAGGGAGGAAATGTCAGATCTCACTTTTCTGAGCTCATGAGGCTCTGCAAACTGCTTGCAGGCATGGGTGTTGCAATTGCAGATTTTCATGCAATCATCCTGGGTTCCCTCCCCGAATCATATTGCCCATTCCTGTTATCCATCACAGATGCCTCAAAGATCACAAAAACTCCTGTCACCTCCTACAAGCTGGTCACCATCATAACTGAGGAGTACAAGCACAGACAGCTCACTGAATGATGTCCCAGCAAGAAGGAAGCTAGTGCAGCTCTCACTGCAAAGGAGACAAGAGGCAAAGGCCGAACTTCACCATTCTCCACCAATAAGGCCAACCCAGATGTTACCTGTTTTAACTGCAACTGAAAGGGCCATTACAAAATGGACTGTTGGAGACCTGGAGGGGGAAAGGAAGGGCAAGGTCTGAACCAGCAGAGGAAGAGAGGTGAAAAGATGCAGAAGCAAGTGGCTAACTCCACAGCTGAAGCCGAGCCCCAAGATAAATATGCTTTTGTCATGTCAGACTTAGTGAGTGTAGCAAGAGACCTGGGCTTACCTATCAAGAAGAGAGGTGCAATGGTAGATTCGGGCACAACATCACATTTCTGCCCAGATCGATCAAAGTTTAACAACTTCGTCACCATTCCTCCCCAAGACGTCCATACAGCTGACAGTTCAACTCTCAGCACGATTGGTTGAGGAGACGTCGAGATCAACCTCCCACTTGGTGATAAACACACCACAGTAATGCTCAAGAATGCACTATATGCACCCACCATGGCCTTCACCCTCATTTCCACCAATTGTATCACAGCGGGTGGCCTAGCTGTGCTGTTTGAGGGCTGCATGTGCAAGATCCTATTGAAGGGACCATGACATCACATCATCGCTGAAATCCCTCAGGTCGAGGGCCTATATAGCATCATAGTGAGCCGTCAGAAGCATCACGTGAACATTGTGATGATGAAGCTTACCATTAGCAAGGTGCATCGCATCCTTGGACATGTGTCCCAAACTACTGTCATGGACGCAGTGAAGAAGGGCCTGATCACAGGCATCAAAATTGACACCAGTTCCAAACCAGAATTTTGTGAGGTCTGTGTAAAAGCCAAGTCAGCCCAAAAGCCCTACCTGGATGAAAGTATGAGATGCACACTCACATATGGAGAGTTAGTGCATACAGATCTCTGGGGACCAGTGCAAACCGTGAGTCTAGGCAGGTGCCTATACTATATCAGTTTCACTGACAACTATAGTCATCAGATGAAGCTTCACTTCTTGAAGCTCAAAAGTGAGGCACTCAC